CCACTTGGGAACGATGGGCCGCTTGGTCTACCGCTAGGATATCCATTTGGACCACTAGGTCCTTGTGGACGATCACCCGGTGCACCCGGGAAGCGGCTTGGACCTTGTGGAGCAGTGGGCCCTTGAGGTTGTCCTGGATAGCCTGGAGATGGTCCACCCGGTCCTGGGTAACCCGGACCACTAGGCCCTTGAGGTCTCATCGATGGTACAGAAGGACCGGAAGGTCCTTCAGGTCTTCCGGGATATCCGGGTCCGCCTGGTCCTGATGGCGGACCTAAATATGCGGGTCCTGGACCGGATGGAGCTCCTGGTCGTCCAGGAATACTGCTCGGACCGCTCGGACCTGTTGGTCCTTGCGGACTACCCGGATAACCGCTTGGTCCTGACGGACCTTGAGGTTCTCCGGGATAACCTGGGCCGCCAGGACGTTGTGGACTGCTCGGATAACTTGGTCCACTAGGAGCGCCTGGAACTCCTGGATAAGTACTAGGTCCAGAAGGTCCTTGACTTCCCATTATAGTATAGTCATAAATATTTTCATTTAAATAGTAAAGACTTGGTGCGGAGTTGCAGTCGAATTGATTCCACCATACACAAACGAAAAATTGTTGATGGAAAATTGTTCCATTCGGACAAAGGAAATCAAAAGTCTTATTGTTGGCACATACATGAAAAACTTGGCACTGGGCTTCCACGTCGGCGTAGTAACCAGGGAATTGTTGGGCATCGCAACGGAAACCGGTCTCCAGAATTTCACTGTAGATAGGATAATCGCGACCAGGCTCGCCCGGAATAGCTGAATAATCACCTTCGTTATATGATCCATCATCTTCATGCGTGTATTCTCCAGGTCCGCCAGGACCTACCGGATGCCCAGTACCCGGGAATCCTCCTGGCCCTTGCGTTTCTGGTCCACCAGGGAATCCCCCTGGCCCTTGTGGGCCTGGTCCACCAGGGAGTCCTCCTGGCCCTTGTGGACCTGGGCCGCTTGGATAACCTGGTCCTTGCGGGCCTGGGCCACTCGGGTAGCCTCCTGGTCTTTGCGCTCCTGGTCTACCACTAGGATAGCCGGTAGATGGTCCACCTTGCTGACTTCCAGGAAAACCGTTTGTTCCTCCTGTTCCTGGATATCCGCCTGG